GGGGAGTACAAGAGTAGTTGGTCTCTTTTGCTCAAAGTTCAGGCTTCATTTGGAAGGACGGAAATCAATCAGGGAAGTGGTAAGAGCTTACCATCAGGTGGCACCACTGTACTATAAAGGGGTGATAGGTAATATTCCAGGTTTCCACGTAGTTTCACATGTAAAATCTGCAAGGGAAAAAGTAGACAGGTTGAAACAGTGTCTTTACCAAAAAACTCTATTTTACCTTAAATGGCTTACATGAGGAAAAGTTCAGCTTCCCATACATATCCGGGTAAGCCCTTAGAGAAGCCCACTAAGCCTTCTGGTTGCCCACGTGTCTGCTATACTCCATGATGGGTTACGTGTTGGGCTGCTAACCACAAGGTCAGCAGTTCAAAACCACCAGCTGTTTCTGGGGAGAAAAGGCTTTTTACTCCTGGTATTTAGTCTTGGAAACCCACAAGGACAGTTCTACTTGGTCCTATAGGGTCCCTATGAGTCAGAATTGACATGATGGCAGGGAGTGGTTTCTTAATTGTTTGTCGTGATTCTCAAATTGGGGTGTGAGGCTTCCTGACAATTCTACAGCTCTGTGCTAATTTTTAAATCTGCTTTTTCCTGTTAGCTGATAGTCTAAAATAAATGGATATAGCATATGCTAGCTACTTGTTTCTCAATATATTGTCCCCAGACGAGAACCATCAGTCACATCATGGAGCCTCTTGCTGCTCCTGTTGCTGTGAGGAGCCATCAAGTGGGTTCCGACCCATAATGACCCAATGCCCGACAGAACACTGCGCGGTCCTGAGCCTCCTCACAACCATGACTGCGCCTGCGCCCAACGCTGCAGCCACTGTGTGGTCCATCTCATGGAGGGGCTCCCTCCTTTCACTGCCCCTCCACTGTACCAAGCACCATGTCCTTCTGAGCAGTCAAGAGATGGAAAGATGCTGCACGTGACCCCTTTAGAGTACTGAAAAGCAAGGGCGTTACTTTGAACAGAGTAAGGTGCGCCTGACCCCAGTATTTTTGATTGCCTCATACCCTTGTGAAAATTGGACACTGAATAAGGAAGACGGAAGAAGTATTGATTTATTTGCGGTTCTGGCTAAGGATATTGAAAGGGCTGTGGACTTCCAAAAGGACAAACAAATCTGTCTTGGAAAAGAAGTATGTCATGAGTGCTTGTTTGAATCTGGGTATTTTAGAGAAACAAATCCACAGAAACTCATATTTATAAGAGAGAGTTTTATATAAAGGTTAAGTGCACATCATGAAAACATCCCAACCCAGTGCTGCCCAAGCCCCCAACTTTAACTATCTCAGTGCTCCTTAGAAATAGAGGAAAGAAATAGGAGGTAAAAGCTATTTATAGAGGTACAGATAGCTATAGGCATCTATATATGCAAATATATTCATTTATAATGAAATGAATAGAAGCTAATGTACATATATTTATATGATAAGTATTAAGACAGCAGACAGACTTGGGGCTTCTGCTCAAGGCCTCCCTTAACGCAAGAATACTTTGTTCTGATAACCTGGCACTCTTTGATACTCACCTTCCCAACACGATCGCTGAAGACAAAATAGGTGCATAAGCAAACGTGGTGAAGAGAGCAGGGAGTGCCCAGCTAGCAAAAGATATAGCATCTAGGGCAGCGGCTCTCAACCTGTGGGTTGTGACCCCTTTGAAGGCCGAACGACCTTTTTACAGGGGTTGCCCGATTCATAACAATAGCAAAATTACATTTATGAAGTAGTAACAAAAATAATTTTATGATTAGGTGTTCAACACAACATGAGGCACTGTATTAAAAGGGTCGCAGCATTAGGAAGGTTGAGAACCACTGATCTAGGGTATTAAAGGCTCAAGGTTAAGCAAGCAGCCATCTAGCAGGGAAACAAATAAGTCCACATGGAAGAAGCACACCAGCCTGTGTGATCATGAGGTGCTGACGAGATTAGGAATCAGGTATCAAAAGACC